GTGTAAGCACAGTGCACAATCCGTCAGTTAAGCAATCTAATAAGCAAATAGGAAGAGCTTTCAGAGTTAAAATTTTATGCCAGTTCCTTTTTTAAGGATTGTAGGTTAAAAGCAAGCCACCAATAAATATTTGCCTTGATTCTTGCCATTCTTGCAGTACTTTAGGCTAACGCGAAACTTTACAAATTTAAAGCTCACATATGCCATCTGCTGACACATTTTGTGAATTACGAGAATAGCTAATTGGACATCAACCAACAGCTAATTGATCTATTAGTATAGGTTCAGACTTAGGGTTGTTTCTTTTTTTTTTTTTTTTAATTTTTTTTTCAACGTTTATTTATTTTTGGGACAGAGAGAGACAGAGCATGAACGGGGGAGGGGCAGAGAGAGAGGGAGACACAGAATCGGAAACAGGCTCCAGGCTCTGAGCCATCAGCCCAGAGCCTGACACGGGGCTCGAACTCACGGACCGCGAGATCGTGACCTGGCTGAAGTCGGACGCTTAACCAACTGCGCCACCCCGGCGCCCCTTAGGTTTGTTTCATTTCCAAAACCCATTAGGCAAATTTTAAACATGCATTTTCCCCCAAAGTACTGTAGTTTTCAATTTATTTAACTACTAAAAACTTATTTCCCAAAACACATTTTTATTTCAAACAGTGTGTTTGTACTGAAGCTATTTTATTCTTCCTACTGACAAAGGAAATTGCAAATTGGTATCTCAGTAAACATAGTTCATATCTACAGTGAATTTTATCAGTAAAATATTTTAAGAGGATATTATCTTGAACTCTGTTGTAAGCTGAATCAAATGTTTATGTATATAAATTGTTTAAAGGGGTAAGTACATTGATGAGGAGCTGAAACTAATCATGCTAGTAACACCAAAGCAAAACAAACAAAATTCATTCATGGAGATGGGGCCTAGTTATTCTCCAGTTTATTCATACTGTTACATGAATTTTCCTCTTAGATCCAGGGCTCTGCCTCACTCTTCATCCAAAGAAGTCATAGCTCCTGTTCACAAAGTCAGCTTTACAGCCTTAATCAGGCTGCACCAGGCATATTATACCTGAAGTGTCACTCATGGACTCCAACATGCCTATATTATTAAGCACTTACTATAGGCCAGTCACCATGTTCAGTATCACACTGTCATTATCTCATTTGCTCCTTGCAGCTTCTCCCTATCATTATACTCCTACACTGCAGACTGGGAAGTTGAAGTTTAAAAAGAGTAGACATGTTGTCCAGGGTGAATGAGGCAGGACTGAGACCCAAACCAGCAGACTCTTGCACCTGGTTCCTACCCTTCCTACCCGCTGTGCCACATTGTCTGAATTACTGTCTGCAAGACGGCTAGCACTCACACTTTGGCCCAAAGTGGTGCTTCTTTGACATCTTGCCAAGCCTGTTAAAAAGGTATTATTTACCAGTTTGATCTGATTCCCACTTCACCGTTTGTTTTTAGGCAGAGGCCAACTAAAATCAGCCACCATTTTCTTGACTCTTAAGATTTCTTCCTTTATCATCTTTGGCCCTGTGTATAGGAAAAGTGAGGATTTTTAGGGATTCAAAGTGTGAGTTTTGCCTGGAATGAGTCATGCCTGGGTTAGCTTCCTTGATTAGCAGCTGTGTATCCTTGGAAAACTCATTCATTTGCTCACTCAAGAAATATGTGCTAGGCAGTAGGCCTTCAGCTTTTAACAATACAGACAGGATTGCAACCTTCATGGGGCCAACATTTTAAAATCTTCCCTAGATTGTAGTCTCCTCATCTGTAAAAATAGTTAATAATGGTAATAAGTGCATAAAGATCCTGTGTTGGTGATTAGTTTAAGGCACTTAACCACAGTGCCCGGCAGTTTTATCATAAAGTTTAGCTGTGGTGATGATGATCGTGGTGATGTTGATGAAATCATCATTCATGCTAATGATTTCATAAAATTAATGCATAAGGGAGATGAAACTCTTCTTGTCAGGACTGTTATTACTGTATGACAAGCAGGGGCACTTTTAGGGACTTCCCGTGCACACCTGGTATATGATAGAAGTAGCCCTGGATCCTTTCTTAGGCAAAGGACAAAGTACTTGAGATCATAAGTATTTCATGCATTGTGCAAGAGGCCATGTTTTCTCTGGTGCACTCCTTCACTCTCTCTTGCTCCAAAAAGTACACAGCTGCCAGGCAAACAAGGCTACTCTAGCCCGTTGGAGGATGAGACACATGGACCACCCACCGCTGACTACAGACGCTTGAGTGAGTCCAGCTGAGCCCAGCCCATATTTGTACTCACAGAATGTTGAACTGAATTAGTGATTGTTATTAAAGCCACCCAATTTGAGGATGGTTTGTTATGCAGCAAAAGCCAACTGATGCAAAGGCATTTTTATCTGAATTGCCCTTTATATGAAACTACCTTATGTAAACCTTTACACATAGTTCAAACTTACTAATTCCATTTCTTCAGTAAAGTCTACTCTAACAATTTCAGATTTTTATTAAAAAAAAAAAAAAAAAAAGAACTTGCCCAATGCCACACATCTAGTAAGCGGCAGAGCCAGGACTCAGACTCAGTGTAACTTTATCACCCAAGGCTCCTTGCGTTGCACTATATTAAACTGTTTAAAAATTGAGTATATCTTGTAACAACCAAAATCGTCAACAATTGGAACCTTCTTGATTTTGTACTTTTTAAAGATATAAAACAATGCATATTCATTACAATAATATGTGAAAATTCACACAATTTTAAAAAGCAATTCACCCTCCAGATAACTAACACAGAATTTATACATCCAGATTCTTTTCTAATCATATAAATGTGCATATTTTCTATAAAAATCAGAGCATATGCCACAAATTACATTGTAATTTATTTCAGCAAACTACCAACTATTGCACATTTATATTGCTCCAGGGATTCACTGATTTTGAGGAATAGAAACTAACATAATATAGAGTGTGTGCATGTGTTAGAGAAGAAGAGGTCAATGGTAAAAAAGATAGTTGCAGGGACATTTTTCTCTTTTTCTTTGGGGTCAGTGGACATAGAGTCAAAGTCACATCTAACCTTCTCTCTTCTCCTTATAGAAAAGGGGTTTTCTTAGCACATGTTTGATGACTTTGACTTGACAGGGCTTTTCATGAAACAGGGAACACCAATGCCTGACTTCCCATGTCACTTTGATCAAATTTTAGACCAAAGACAAAGGTACAGTCTATCTATAGGCCCTCGATCAAACGAAGTTTGTGGATTTGTGTGAGATGGGAGATCGGTGGGGGGAATCTCATTGTACTTGTTTCCTTCCTCCCTGCATGGTAGGTGAAACAGGTGGATTTGCTAAAGTAACTCCATAATGGTGAACATTTTTGTGTAGGCTAGATCACCTTCTCCCTCTTTCAAATCATGCAGATTGTGGATAGCAACCAACAATCAAGATAGGACTTAAAAAAAAAAAAAACTAAAAAGTAGAAAACAGTTTTTTTTTTTTTAATTTTTTAAAATATTTATTTATTTTTGAGAGAGACAGAGACAGAATGCGAGTGGGTTGGGGCAGAGAGAGAGGGAGACGCAGAATCAGAAGCAGGCTCCAGCTCTGAGCTGTCAGCACAGAGCCAATGCGGGGCTCGAACCCATGAGCCGCGAGATCATGGCCTGAGCGAAGTCGGACGCTCAATGGACTGAGCCACCCAGGCGCCCCTAGAAAACAATTTTCAAAATCAAACAAGCAAATGTCTTACGAGCATGCAAAGGGTTATAAAACTACCCCATATTTATTTCCTACGCTTTGGCTATTTTGAGTCATAGGGGAGTTGCAGTGGTGAAGAAGACAGTTATCATGGTTCATGGTTCGTGCCTTAGTGAGCTTGGAGTCTTTGAAGGAAGGCCAACAGGCAACTGACATAAAATTAACATAAAAACAAGTGCTTGAAGGTAGTAATTTACAAAGATGGGGGACCTAACTAATCCTTCTGTGGGGGGCAGGGAGAGGCAGGGTGGTAGTAAACTGCAGAGGAACAGAGTGCAGAATCTAAGCTAGAGTTTTCCCATATGAGAGAAACTACTGTATTCCCACCAGGTAGCAGAAACCGAGAAAAAGAGAGGGAGCAAGCTAAAAGTGAATGAATATGGGTGGTGACTAGCAGATAATGTAAAATGGGAAGTGTGATAAATCTAACTCCTGGGCTGACAGCAGATCCTAATATGGTCTTGTAAGTAACTTAAGAGCCATATTAAGGAATCTGTATTATCCTTAGAAAAATGGGGCATGCATGGGGACAAGTCATGGTTACATTTTCGTTTCGGAGAAGGTGCTCTGAGTGTCCTCTTGACCATCCACAGGCACTTCTGTAGTTTTGGAAGCGAGAGCGGAGAGAAGTATCCCAATAGACTGATGTTTCCACTTTGGACCCCACAAGCCTTGGGGCTGATTTGATGATATTTGAGGGTACAAGAGAGGCTCCAAGGTTGACAGCTGGACTGAGCCATTTGGAAAATGGTGGTAAGATTTCCTGAGTTAGTTATTACAGAATGAAGAGAGAAGCGGGATGAGAGAGATGATGGTTTTATTTTCAGATGTATTGTATTTGAGGCATCTGGGCTGCTTTTTAGGATTGAATTTCCTGCAGAAAATATACTCCCTAAATACATTAAAATTTATTACTGTACTGACCACGCTTGTAAAATTTACCAAACCACGTTATTACGGGAAATTATCAAAGCGTGAATCCCTGTTACACCTACATACTAACTCTACCGAGGACGTTCGCGAAAACGTAGGTTTGCCGGCCCTGCCTTGGAGCACGTTCCAATTCGCTCAGGCTCCTAGCTACCCAGTCGAAAGAGCGGTTGCCCTCTGCTGGTCAGAAGTGCGTAATGCATCTGAAGGAGAGAAATTTCCTAGGGGCGTGCCAGCTGGCGGATGACGGAGAAACCCAGCGTCCGGAGATATGCGGTTTTGCCTGCGTCAGCGGCGCGCGCCGCGGGAAACCTGACAGACCGCATGGCTGCGGGTTGTTCAGAGGCTCCGCCGCCGAAGGCGGCCTCTGAGGGACCAGTGGCGGGACCGGCCGGCGTCCTGCCCTGCCTAGAGCTGCCAACCTACGCTGCCGCGTGTGCGCTGGTGAATAGCCGCTACTCCTGCCTGGTGGCGGGGCCGCACCGAAGACACATCGCGCTTTCGCCGCGCTACCTTAACAGGAAACGCACCGGTATCCGAGAACAGCTCGATGCGGAACTCCTGCGCTACTCCGAGAGGTATCAGTCTCTCCGTCTTTTCCTCCGCGGAGCGGATAACGCCATAACGTAGCTTGCTCCCCTTTCTTTTAGGCGCGGGGAGGGGGGGGGGTTGCTGGTGGACGTGCTGATGGCGTCGCAGAAAAGGGGTGAATGGGAGAGAACGCGCCGGCCACTCGAGCTTATACTCGAGACGTTATGGAGTTTCCAACTAGCCGAAATTTCCAGTGTGTCCCTAGTCGGGATCTGTTCTTACCGTTTCATGGACAAGAAGGGAGGCGTGAAGGTGACGTGAATTGTGCGGGCGGAGCCGGTGGGGAAGCTTGTTTAAGAACTGGCGTGTGTGGGTAAGAATAGATCAGGGGTCTGGAGACCCGGTAAGCCAGTTCTGTGTTTTCCCATTTGACAGTGGGAGTTTCGAATGCATTACTTCAACATATTGTCTCTCATTCTGTAGAAAATTGTACATATTAGTACAGTCTTTTGTTTGTAAACCGTGACGAAGGTTCTGGTTTTTATTTTGGCCCTGGTATTTTCCTTGGGTTCTCTTCTCGTGGGCCTGATCACGGATGAGAGAAGCAATATTTCTGTTTTGTTTTTAAGAGCAGTTTATTAAGTCTTAATTGGAGTGAAAAAAAACTTTGTGGTGCAGTTAATATATTCAATAGAAACTTGGAGACTCTTGGAGTTGCGAGAGTGGAGGGTCAGAGGGAGGGGGCATATGTACGTTAATACTACTAAAGACTACTTTGTCTCGAAAGCAAGGGTTCTAAAACTAGGGTGAGTGGAATCCCTAGGGATTCCTTGTTGCTCTTAAGGAATTTCATGACCCTCCCTCCTCCCCTCTGGGAAATTTCCTTTCAGTTTTCTTGGGCAAAGTACCCAAAGTGTTCACTTTCTCAAGGGATCCTGGACAGGCTAAGGAATCAAGCAGGTCTAGAATGTACAGCTTACTCCAAACACCTACACCCACTTTTGTGCCTATTTTGTACATAAGGGATTTGGGATTAAAAAAAAAACAAAAACAAAAAACCAAGATCCCTGTTTGAAGACACTGTAATCTCTAGTAAAGATACAAATGTAAGCCAGGTAAATCCAATGAAGTGTTAAAATTTGCCAGAAACAAAGTAAGTTATACTGAAAGAGTAGTGAATTTGATATTAGGACCTTTTTTGAGAACAACTTAATAGGAGAAAGATTCTTTGTGATGGTAGTATTCAAGGGAAAAGGTGTGGCATAAACAAATGGATAGTAGATATAAAATAGACTGGTTCAGTCAGAGAATTGTAAGTACTATATAATTGGAGTAAGGTTTATTTTAGGGGAAGGACATTGTGTGCAGTTGGAGAGAGGAGGGCAAAGACAGCTTGGGGGACAACTCAGGATGACCATTTTGCTTTTTTCCTCCTGTCTACTAGGTTTTTGTTTTTTAACCTTTTTCTGTTTGCTTAAGCAGACTTAGCACTTCATCCTTTCAGTGTGCCCTCCAACTCCGAAACTTGGTGCAGTCTGGAGAGAGTAGTATGAATCTGTGATCTCCAGGACATAATCAGACACACAGTTCAAGAAACCACACTTGGTAGCATTAGCTGATGGCTTAAGGAAGGTGAGACTGTAGACATGGAGACCAACTAAGAGACTGTTACAGTTGTCCAAGAGAAAAATGATAAGAGAGTATGGGTTTGAGAGACTTAAAGATATAAATATGGTCATAAAATCTGGGAAGAGGCAACTGTTTGATGTATTTTACCACTTACTGTAACCAATCAGTGCCTCCACTTGACAGGCTAGGGGGAAGCCACCTGAAGTGTCTCCCGTCAGAGCCCTTATACCAGAGATACAAGGAACCAGTTGAACGATAATTTTTGTAACCAAACGATACAGTGTGACTATGTGGAGCAGGTTGCACTCTGAGCAGATCAAGACTGCGCACTCTACACCCTCCTCCCCCACCCCCACCATTACTTGTGGGCTGTGGTTAAGACTCTGGCTTACTCAGTGCTGATAAAGCAGCACACATTAACTGTGTATTTCTAAGTAGGGACAGAACATGGAACATACCAACAATTGTAATGTCAGTCAACCACTTATGTATAGTTAGATTTACAGATTTCGGGGCCATCCTATAGAATCAGGAGGACTTGCTTCTCTTTTTGTAAGAAACAAGGAAAAGAAAGTGTTGGAAGGTGGAGGATGCACAATAAAGTATCCCCTAAACTAAGAAGGCACTTTGAGATTAGAAAACGAAGCAGGTGACTCCATACAGTTTACACAGAGTTTTATTCAGGGTAACTTACTGACCCGGGGGATTGGGCAGGTGATGATCCAAGTAGCTGCACAGCTGTTCTTCACAAAGTCTAGACCTCAGTCCACAGATTTTATAGAGTGTGAAGGGATGTGCAGAGGGCACTGTGGTGAGGTCACAGGGTTTAACACTTAACAGACCCTGTGGCACCACATGTACTCCAAATGATGGGGGAGGAAAGTACATTACCTCTACTAGTTATCTAAACAACTTTAGGGAAGATCACAACAAGCCTTCCCATATTCTGGTCAGGGCATACCTAAACCTCCAGGGGGCCCGGGACATGTAGCCCTGAGGGAGGTGATGGCCTGATCGTGAACAGGATGGAGGGTCCAACATGGAGTCAGTATTGTCAGCATTGGTATGCTTTACCCGCAACATGTTTATGGCCCGTGCAGTCTTTACGTGACATTCTTCCATGATGGCCCAAGAGCAAGATGTTGAGAGTTAGTTGGCTTGCATACCTATGTCACAGCAGTAATATAAATGGCCACATGAGGTTAATATACCTATAAAAGAAAACATTTAGTAGTTCCCCAGTGACTTGGTAAAGAGGTGAGTCATGAAGTGAAGGTATCAGCAGAAGAGATCCTCTCCAAAGACCCAGCCTCGAAGTGATTGTGAATTTGACCTTAAGTTATGGCTCACAAGAGGGAGATGCTTCCTGAGGCAACAGGGACAGAGGGACATCAGCAGTGCCAGGCTGGGGCAGTAGGACAGATGTTTCAAAGTGAGTAGACATGGCAAATCTTCATTTAGCAACAATACAGTAGCTGTTTGGTCTCCATAGCAACCTGACTTTTCATCATTCCTCACTCTTGAGTGACAGGGACGACTCCAGCTACTTCCTGCTGAAAAGGGGCATAGATCAGGATTCAAGGGGTGAAACTGTCTTTCATCCAGTTATAGGTAGCCCCTGCTATTACATTGAGCCCTTTATCCTTCATAGAGCCATTTTTTTGGAACTCTAATGTGTAGTCTTCGCTTCTTATTACACATTTCATAATGAAGTAAATCAGGTCAGTTCAGTTAAACAGTTGTCTCATGGCTTTCAGTCAGGCCTATAGTGTGTAAGTAGTCAGGCAGAAAATTATCCAAATAATCAAGGAAATCATTAGAAGTCAGGATCCAGCTAGTATGGTAAACAAGAAACATGCAAGGACAATTACAACTAGAATCTTACACCCATAGAGGTATGTTACTGAAACATAGTTTTTTCTCTCCAAAATCACCCTCATTTCCATCAACAATAGCCAAAATAAGACTAATATGTTTGTGAAACAAGTCCATTTTTCACAAATTTGGCCCAAATATTTTTGTAAGTACAGCAAGAATAGTAACTGGCCTTACATGTTCTCTCAGATCTGCTTTGCTGGAACTCTTTTTTCATAAGGAATTTCAGATCGAGCTTTTGAAAGCCTTTCAAGGCAAAGAGCCAAACCAAATACTTGCCATCAGACTCGCTTGTAATAACTAAAGAAATGAAATACTCCCTCGCTTTTCGGGGTCCCCCAAATATCCTGAGGTTCCTGAGCCTGCCAGGAAGTGACCTTCCTTACTTAACCTCGTAAGGCTCCAGGAACCTTGTAAGCATGGTACCAGCCAGGCCAGTTATTCTAGGGGGCTTTCTTGGCACCATAATGTCAACCCTAGTTCCTTAGCTTTCTGGTCATATCTGAGTCTGCATGTCTTTCTCAAATGTGACATTCTAGTCAAAGCCATGGTAATAGAATCAGTTTCTCTAATGGTGACCTGTTACAAGAAATTCTTACTGAATTTATGCAAATAAGTGCCATGAGGGTAAGAATACTCACCAAGAGTTTGTGAATTCAGGAGGGATAAGGTAGGGGGGAAAAGATAAAATGTTTTTAAAATCCCGAAGAGCAAACATTAGATAATCAGTGATGTTTCAAACGAGTCATAAAAACTGTAATAATCTTCCTTGATTCCTTTAGTCATGTTATTCTTGTTCAGTTTGAGTATGGTTTTCCTGTTCCCAGAAATTCTTATTTGGCTTAGTTTTATTATCTTAAGGGTATCACAAACCTGTGTTTGTCGAGAGTCCTCTCTATGAATGTCCTTGAAGATGAAACACATTTGTAGGAGTACAAATCAGAACAGTAACTGTAAATAACAAAGGACTCAAAAATGAGCATGGTTAAAGATGTGATGAGAGTTCATTATAGTGTAATGAACATTATAGTTGATAAGGAAATTTGGTTACTTCTGGGATAGACAATACTTCAATACTTAGAATTACAAGTAATGATTATCGGGATTTTGGGATTTCATGGCATTCACTTATGCAGCAGAACCTTAAAAGGTTTCTGACAATGCTTCCCATGTAGTTTAACATACCATAATAAATAAGCCTGATTAGTTAAAAAGACTTAATTTAGAATTTGAATTTTGGGAAATTTGTTAAAAATATCAAAGTTTTAAAGCACATGCTGAATGGTGCGCCTGGGTGGCTCAGTTGGTTAAGTGTCTGACTTTGGCTCAGGTTATGATCTCCGTCAGGTTCCTGAGCTCAAGCCCTGCGTCAGGCTCTGTGCTGACAGCTAAGAGCCTGGACCGTGCTTTGGATTCCGTGTCTCCCTCTCTCTCTACCCCTCCCTTGCCCATGCTCTCTCTCTCTCTCTCTCTCAAAAATAAATAAACAGGGGTGCCGGGTGGCTCAGTTGGTTAAGCGTCCAACTTTGGCTCAGGTCACGGT